GAATCCTTCACAAAGGACTTCGTCTGCTCTGAAATACAAACGGGACCATAACTGTTAATCTTAAAGAAATATGAATACTAAACCAAAAACAAAAAGTATGTATTGTTAGGAAAATACTACTGCCCCGATGGTTATAAAAAGGCGCATATAACGACAAGGCAAAATGGAAAAAAAAAATATGGGAAATCGTTCGCTGTCTTTCAGTAAATTTAATATTAAAAGTAGGAATTTATAGGCATGATAATAGTCTTTGACACCAAGTTATAAAAATATAAATATTTTTAAGTTATTTAAATTATAAATGAGAAAAAACGATTTTGAGAATTAAAAAAAATATTCCTTTCTTAATACGCAATGAATAGATGCAAATAGCCAGATGCGCCTTTTAAATCTCAAACGCTTTTTGAAGTACTTTTAGTTTAAGTATTTGTGTGTAGATCTGTACTTTATGTTTGAAGAAAAAAGGTGCACTTGGTTAAATGTGCTTTTTTACTTATGTAAGTATTCAAAACTATGAAGATAATCCTGGCCTAAGAATAAAAATACAAATAATTTTCTATTAATTGTTTCATCTGACTCATTAACCTGAAAAAAGATAAACTAACTGAATATTTTCCGTTTAAAGCCTCTAATGATAACACTAAGCAATAAAATAGATTTAGAGTACTTTCGATAGTTTTCTTCCCAACGTAAAGTATCGTAAGTCGTGTATGACAAATGCGCCCATGTCAAGACTAACTTTACGAAGTAGATGGGCAAAAGTGGCAGATTTAGACGTTTTTTCTTATTGTGAGAGCAGTTTGTAATTAGTGCATCAGACGTAAATGGTTACAAGCGTCTTATTAGTTTCGTCTTAGGAATAAAATTTAATATGCGCCTTCTATATTGCCGAAGTTAAAAGAAAATCGTTGGGAATATGGGCGAATTTGTGTAAATGCGATTATTTATTTAAGTTTTAAATGAATTCGTCTTTTCAACTTCATTAAGGTGTAAAAAAGTATGCATATGCGCCTTATTGGTTGTGCTAAAATTGCAATGAAGCAAGGCAGAAAAATATTAAAAATATAGGCAAATGCGCCTTTTTTCCTGATTCCGTTGCGCCTTTTTAACTATCGGGGGCAGAATATATGTAATAATTTGAAGATTCAAACTGCCAAAAGTTGTTATTTAAAAAAAAAACATTGATATATACCAAACAAAAAAATTGTTAGTCTTCTTTGCCTTTAAACTAAATTGAGGCATTTAAAACCGTCTAGTAACAGTAAAACCTCACATAATTTAATAAATCAACAAACAGTTCGTAAGGAACAACTGTCATTAAATCTTTTTACACTTTTATGATTTTTTCTTTGTGTAGATACTAAATCTCAGAGACAATAGTAATTGCCCGTGACTGTACTGAGTGTACATTCCGGTGGGTGGTAATTTCTAAACGCAATTAAACAACAGTCCCAATTGCAACGAAAACCGAGCAATTTAACACGACTGGATTTAACACATGCAGCGGTCACATTTCAGGCATTTCGGGCCCTCAGAGGAATGGAAAAGATAAGGTTTACAAATTACTAGCTTTTAGCCCAGTTAAAAGTAGCCTATGTTACTCGCTGATAATGTAGCTTTCCATTGGTGAAAGAATTTTATAAATCGGTTCAGTGGTTTAGGCGTGAAAGCGTTACTAACAAACAAAAAACTTTTAAACCAACCAACAAATTTACTTTCACATTCATAATCATCAATATATATGTTAAGGAATAATGTCGCATAACATTATTAATAATTAAAATTGAAACGCGTTTTTCAGCCCCAAATTTTACATAATGATCAAAGGGGAACGCTTGGATGGGTTTCAGAGATTATTTTACCTTTTATTGTTAGCGATTAATTTAGGTTTTATTCAAAATAAATTGAGACTAAGCATGAATTATCTGATTGTAATCTGAATATATGCAAAGAAGAATAAAATTTATTTTGTATGGGGATTTTACTACCTGTACTAATCCTCTGAAATTAAGATCAATTGTAAAGACGAATGTTTGCCTGCTGTGTTATGACAATCGTATATATGGTATTTCTGTCTTACTGGACAGTAATTAGATGAATGAAGCCGCTAAGTTCCGAATAAGAGAGGCGGAAGGACCACGTTTAGGCCAACCCCTTCTTCTTCTTTGGCTATGTCATCAGGATTAGGAGGAACTAACAGATTACTGAATGGAACGGACTTAATGGTAATACTATTATGAATAAAAGCCAGCTTGCTCATTACAGTCACTTTTGAATAAAAGTATTAAAGAAAAATATTAATTTATACTTTGATACCTATTTTACGTGAAGCAGAATTTTAAATTTCCTTTTCTTACAGCATGCGTCGAAAAGAGTTAACTAACATATTCTCAGTGTATTGGTTTCTATACTTATTGATACTTAACGTACCATTTTTGCATCAATCAAGCATGCATAAACAAAAATAATTTAGGATAAATAACATTATACAGAATTCAAGGTTTCACGATTATCCCATCCATTATAGATTGTTCTGAATTATGCAAGAGTTGTACGCATGGATTTGTATTGTTATATCGTCATGGTCGTAGAATAATGTCGGTTTTGAAAAAAATACGCAAATCCGTTATTACTATTATTTTTTTTCATGTATTTTAGATTTTAAATTATTCAGTGTTTGTTTATATGCGCTCAAAGTAAAATGAAGCATGTAGTTTTTCTAGAAAATTGTGTAATTATTATTATTTCTATTGTTATTTTGATTGCATTTTAAAATAAACCCTATTTTTCCCTTGTATGTCAATTTTAATTCAATTCATAATCCACTTTAGAATTTAAAAAGTTATGTCAAATAAACTAACATAATTATTTGAAATGGCTGCCCTGTAAAGTTCAATAAATGTCAGATCCGACACTACTCCTATTCTACGACTATGACGATATATGCATGTTACGTCTATTTATACTATTACTTCCGTAATAAAGAGAAAAAAACAATTAAATAATAGCATGTTTTATATATATATATATATATTTAATTCTCTTAAACAAATGCCATGAACGTCATTTTTGGATTTCTATGAAAATATAGCGAAGATCTTTAACCGCTGTATTCTTCGGGTAAGTAACGTTTGGAATAATGACAAAAGGTCTAATCATATGACCTAATTTCATTTAATACACTTTTTTTTAATACAACGATCAAATAATATAACACATTATTAATATTATTTCATTTGCCTAATTTATATGGTATTCTCCATAATGAACATTAGTTCAAATGTGCATTATAGAGAGGTTGTTAGGTTATGTTAAAACAGTGACCATTAACGCGGCCGTATGGTTGGTCCATCATTTGAGTTAGATGAGGTTAGCATTTATTAATATGCACTTATTCGTAACAGAATTTTGTCTGAAAATATGAAAATCAGGTCAAACTATCGTTTACAAAACGAACATTATACAATTTGAAAATGAAATGCACGATATACTAAATGTTATTAGAGGAAATGAAGGTAAAATGAAATATAGCATTATAATTTATACCCCATGAAAATAGTTTGTTTGTTTTTATATCATACAAAAATTATATGATGTGAACGTTATTTCAACTGATATTTATAATATACTGTTTGTTTTTATGCCAAATACAACACACAGGGGTGTATTATATTTGGCATTATCATCATTTGACTTATTATCATATTTATTTATTATCATTTGACATATATTTAGTATTTATCTAGAGTACCTGATTCGAAAGACTTGGTAACGGAACACTAAGATGTTTTGGTTGGTTCTATTCTGATATTCCTTTCAGTTTGGATCCGCCGAGGTGACAACCCGAAACGTTTGTCACAAAAGAAAGAACTAAGCCATACCAAACAGTTTTATCTCTTTTTATCTAGGTGAGTTAAAGCACATGGAAGGTATTCTTAACGCTTAAATGAAATTATATTTCCTAAGGTATATACCAGCGGTACTTCAAAGTGCATTGACATCAAATGGACTTGTTGCGCATTGCATTCATAAATTATTCCCGTGCACGTAGTAGCCTTGGAAAACAAGATTTAACATGTCTTAATTCTATGGATTTTAGTTCATTTAGCAGCTGATTTACAATCTCTTGAATCCAAATATTAATGTAAGTTGCCGTTAATAAGATTTTGTTTTTCTTCCTCTTACCTGATAATCTAGGCAAAAATAAATATGATATGGAAAAATTGAATGACTGAAGCACTAATTTAATAAAAATTTCAAAAATATTACGGAAGACGGATCATATTTTCTACGTAGCAATAGTTTTATTACGAGTATAACTTTTATTGGAACGTTGGAATTTAAGCAAAAATAGTATATTTTCAATAAATGCGTAGCGTGGCTATGTTGTGTGATCACACAGTCACACAACATAGCCACGCTACGCATCGAGAAAAAAAAAGCTCGCATCTGTAACGAGCCCGGTACTCACCGGAGGAAACACTCACACAGGGGTTTCCTCCGGTGAGTAGCGGGCTCGTTACAGATGCGAGCTTTTTTTTTCTCTCGAGTCCGTCTCTAGCACACATCCCTCGTACACATCCCTCGTACACATCCTTCGCAACACATCGCTCGCACACATATCACGCAACACATCCCTAGCATACATCCATCCCTTCTTTTGCATGCACTAAAACCTCGCTCCGCTGAGCTCTTTCCACTAGAGCTACGCTGAGCGACGCTAGGTAAATGAAGTGATTCTATTGTTTCTTACCAAACACATCCCTCTCTACGCATCCTCGTATATCTCTGATGGAAACGCAGCCTTAGCCTACGTAATGAGGGCCTTGAGCACTTTAGAGATTACTCGTACATGGGAAAATTAGATATGTAGGGAAAGTAAAGATAGATGGGATGGAAAAGCAAATATTGCTCAAACGAATGGATTGGGGAATGTAAGCTACGTCTGGAACAAGTCATAGTCGTATACCTGTGACTTGAATTCTCCGCAGAATAGTTGGTTATATTACACGTACCTTAATCATCGCTTTCAGCATGGCATATCTAGTGAAGACGTTCCGCTGAGTCTTGGAATCGCTATAGCGCTCCATGAGCGTGACTAGAGCTTTCTTAGCTGTGTCATAATTCTCGTCAAGGCGCACCCTCACTCCCCGAAGGCGCTCGTTCGTTTCTATCACCTCCTCTTTTGTCTGACCGCCTGGGTGAAAATTTAAGAATATCATATTAAAACTCACTTTTATCGATAAGCTAATTTTAACAATAACAATATTCAACAGTCTAGGTGGTGCCAAGACATGGGATAAAATCACAGTGATTTATCATTCGATTTTTGCGTTCGTAGGTTAGGGTTGCTAGGTAAATAGGTTAGACGCTATATATCAGTAAATCTAGTAATTTTTTAATTATTATATATAATGAAATAATTACTAGATTTATTGTTAAATTGATGAAATGGCAACAACGCGTGAGTAAGTAGTAACCCTAACCTACCTACGAAAAACTCGAATGATAAATCACCGGTCATTCACAGTTCACTGTGATTTGGTCCCATGTGACCAACTATGGCAGCACTAGCCACAGTTAGTGACTGTGTCAGTAATTCAGATGAAGATTGAGTTGGTAAGGACCTATGTTAATTAACTAAGAATAAACAAGTGAAAAGAAAGCTCATGACTAATGAACTTTAAGCTAGAAATATTGACTTAAGATATGTTCGTCACGAAATAAATTTATTAGTATGAGATTGTTTTTTATAGGCATTTGTAGTATTTGTTGTATGTTTATTACTTCTTATATAGGCTTTTCCTAGACAAGAATAACTAAACAAAATAAGTCTACAAAACAATGTGTTACGAAGGAATTTGGGTACAATATAAGGGTATCCAAGAATCGAATTTATTGATTCTACAATGTATTTAAATATGAAAAAGTATAGTTATTTACGAAATCAAGAAAGCGAATATACACTGCTAGTAACAATCTCGGACAGTAACAAATGGATGGTCACCGAGGACTGATGTGGTCGAAGCAACACTAATCAATGACCGGGCGGGACACCCTGCCTCTTAATATTCTACCTGTCTCCGAAACTAGTCCACCCGTTGTCATGTGGTGATGCTTCTCAAGCGATATGGTTTACTAAATACGAAAATTACGTATTTGAGAGAAATATAAGAGAAAAACAATGGATGCACAAATGTAATTTTTGCTTATTAATCAAAATAAAACAAGTAAGTTTTGCAAACTCGCCCTTAAATGGCCGCAAAAATATTGTTAAAATATTATTAGGGTACGAATCGGAATAAATCAGTTAATGCCTTTCCATTAATTTGAAGTCATCCAAAGATATTTTAATTGAATAAGATCAATACTTACTAGACGTTCCTTCATCTTTGACATCTTGCACGATCCGGCGAACGCTCTGCGTAAACTTGCCCACTAAATTAGTGCTCGCTGAAACAAAGCAAATACATTGTAAATAATAAATACAGGGCTAATAAAACGTTATAAAATTACATTGTATGGCTTTAAGATACTTGAAAGTGTCTGAAATGTTCACTTCATTTGGTATTTAAACAGCGATGTGTAAGCAAACGCAGCGGTGGTGAGCTTAGCTTGCTACACAGTTAAGCACTTATAGCTGCAAACGAGCTCGTCGCCCATCGTTAGCCTTAAGCCGGTAAATGAACGATGAATAAACCCTAGTGGGTAGCGTTATACTAGCTTTCTTGCAGCACTCGGGTTCATGGTACGACGGATTCTATAAACAATGCTTCAATGAACATTTTTAACCTAAGCTTATGTGCGTTTTATCTTAGACACAATTCGACTGTGCAACTTTTGATTGCCAATATTTTGTAGTCTAATAAATTTAATATATAATTTAAATTGAAAAAGAATACCCCTTCTTTTTTTGTTTTGTATTGTATGCAAAACATATTTTTCCTTTCGGAATCCAAAGTCCTAGAATTACCCTAGGAATCTCAACGATAGGCTGCTTTCTCGCCTTTGAATTACCGTTCCGGACAGAATCATGATATGCAGGCACGGGAATATTTAATAATTGCTTTGAAAAAATGGGGCGCGAAGAGATATTTTTTTTAAAGACTTGTGTGAAGTATACCTACTGACTACGGTATAACATTAGACTGCAGTCAGAAGTTAGGTCATTATGTTAGTTAATTGTGACCTCAGTATACTATAATTAATAATGCCGTCCATACAGAACAATTGATGATTTCAATTTATGGTAATAAGTTTTCTTGACATTTACCTATGAGTCAGCAATTCGTTACGCTATGGTTATGATCATGATGTTCTAAGAACGATGAATGCATGTGCAATTATCAGGAACGATTTATTTGCTAATAATAATGAGGGTCGTCTGAAAATAATAGATCTTGATCTACATGTGTGAAACATGGGTACAAACGTGACTAAAGGTTCAAGGAAATAATTGCCTGCTGTACATGACTTTGAAGTACTAAATGTATGAGATGCAAAATTGAAAGGTAAGTTAGTCATGAAATGGTATGAAAGTTTTCAATAATAATTTGATAACTGTCTACAAGCTTTTATTATTTTTAACACCTTAACAAACAAAAGTCGTTGAAAAGTCGAAGTGCCGGGAAGGTTAAGTTGCGGGAATGAGTAAAAATACCTGATTTATTTGTGATACAATACTAATCATGTCACGTATTACAACAACAACAAGACATTGTATTTCCATATAATTATTTGTATTTTAAATAAGTTATATTTGATGCAAATTAACCTTTTTACAACAGCTCTCGCATTAAGAATTTATCCTGTGTCGAGGGGAACTTTACAAACATACATGAAACGAACACAAAGAACACCCAGACTCAGAACAACAATTTATGGATCACATAAAGTGTCTTCCCATGTGGGGATCGACACCACAATAATAATCTAATATGAATTAAGATTTTACTACATCAATTTTAAATATAGTTTGTAAGTTGTTGTTGTTGTTATTCAACTTACAAACTACCACATTTGAGTTAACCTTAAGCCGTGAGATTTTACGTCAAAATTTGAATCCTAGATTCATTTTGCTCACAAAAGTATTGCTTAGTTTTACCAAAGTGTAAACATATAGCTTCAGTTATGGCTCGTACATTCGTTCTTATTTTGAAAGATACTGGCAAAGTTAGTGACTAAAAAAAGGACCATTAACTCGTTCTACTTTTTTAAGAGGCTTGAATCCTACGAACAGTAAGCCCGGTACTTAAATAATTAGTAGCATTAGGATCCCACTTTAAAGCAATATTGCTCAGCTACGGCAATCTCCGTCACTCGCTGAGATGGTCGGAATTGAAAAACTTTAATCTTGTCTCTAGTTAAGGCATCTAGACACCTTTTCCAATAAGTTGCGATGGATATTAGAAGATGTTGTGTTTAAAACAAGGTAGTATCTTCTATGGCTAAAACCATAGAAGGTAATATATGTTTGCATAATTTTAAGTCCAATTCATGGGCCGTTTTTCAATTATAATTTACATTTAAGATTGACGGTTATTTTCCCGAGCGAATGACGTCACAATAACTGTCAAATGTGTCACTAGAAGACCAAAAAGAATTTTGACCCGAAAATAACTGCTTTAGTATAATTTAATTAAAAAAGAATTGTGGTTTTTATCTCAGAATATGAGGCAATTCACACATTTCAGAATTTAAATACAGTCATTCTAGTCACATTATTAGTTACTCATTTTTTTGACGAACCATAGTGTTGTCTATACCTACTGGTTCAAGCTCGGATTTTTGCTTAATTTTCTTTAAATTGAAATACAAAGTAATTCTGCCTTATTTTATTGCCGAAACTAGAAATTCGTTCTTGTTATTAAAACAGTTTCCCCAAACCAGTTTTCATTTAAATTGCCTGCAATATTCCCAACTTTAATGGTTATCTCTGTTCTGTTCAAAAATAATATTCACACCGAGACTAAGGCTAGTACTATAATTTCTAATTAGGGTTACGTACCTAACACAACAGGGTTTCATTTGATTAATGTTCTTTACACTATGAACACCACTTTTGTAACCATTTATAAATTTGTCGCCTAACTAAAATTCCTGATTTCTTGCATTTTTGGAAAAGGGTTTTTTAATAAGTCACCAGGGGGTTAATATGAAATAATTTGAACTAGTGAGGTCTTCTGCCTAATGATTTTTAAATGTCATCAGTCATTCATTCATTTTATTATTAGAATAAGCCGTGTATTTATATGGCCAACTCATGTTCAAAATATTATTGGCCCGGCTAGACCGAAGTGATAACCACGGCCTCACAGAAAATGATGAAATGATGATGAAATGACATGATATGAAATGATGAAATGATATTTACTTCTGTAAGTAAATCTTTTCAGATATATATATTAACAGCGTTAACAGCTAGAAGGCGCAGGCACTTCTTAAGACTCACTCTGGGAAGAAACGCCGAGACAACCCCCAGAGGCGTATTTTTTTTAACTCTGTGTACAATGTTAAAGATAACTTTGTCAGTCCAGTATGGGTCTGGGTTGGCCTTTTGAAGAAAGGATCATAGTTTTGAGTCGGCCCGTCCATACAGACGGCATGCGGTCCGCAGTCATCGTGTAGCCTAACCGATATAGTCAGGATCAAAAACCCGGAACACGACACTACCGCTAGCAGGACGCTTGAGTAGGCCGTGAAAACACTCAAAACCACCAGAAAGTGATTAAAATATAAAGTAATATTACAAGCCACTGTACACACTGTACTCACATTAAAACACTTACCCAAAAAAAAAATTACTATACAATTCAATTTCAACGAAAAAATAAACAAATTAAAGACAAACAAAATACGAATTAAAACAAAATAAATTAAACGTTCATCACTTCATAATGTCTCAGCGAGCAGCATCAATCACAATCAAATTTGTCATCTTAGTAACCCTGTAGTAAGGATTTTCACTCAGTTTTGGTTTTACTAAGGACTTGCAGTCTAGTCGTTGGCAACACGATTTTCTCTTTATTTTTAGTGTTTATATTATGAATGTCGCCAAAACTTTGTGAATAAATAAATATTTTTCTTAACACACGCTAGATGAACATTCCGGTAGAAAATTCCAATAATTTTCGATTCAGAATGATGGTCTGAATACACTATTTCAGTAATCGTTACGACGTCCTTTACACCGTGTATATATATTGAGATGCGACTGTCATAATAACAATTTTTAAACTTATCCCTCAGTGACTGCCTATAACTGAGATTATAAATTGCGCGAATAGCTCTCTTTTGCAACACAAAGATACTTTGAATGTCAGCAACATTTCCCCGCCACAAAAAACAGTATGACATTACACTATGAAAATTACTAAAATACACAGTAGTCTAGCTGTTTCTACATCAGTTAATTGACGAATTTTATAAACCGCGTATGCTGCAGAGCTGAGTCTATTCGAGAATCCATCCATCCATCAATCCCCACTGCAATTTAGAGTCTACAGTTATACCCAAAAACTTAGTGGCGTCCACAAGCATTGTTGAGCAATTCATTCGTTGTTTTTCACCGAGTGAGTGAGTGACGTTATTGGAAGTTCAACCCCCCATAATTTTAATAGGGGAGATAGGAGCACTCAAAGCGTGGCAACGCACATGTGTCTCTCGAGTTGCAAGTGTTAATGGCCACCGTTGGCTATTCATCATCATCAACAGCTCTTAATTGGTCAACTCAAAAACCAATTAGAGCATTTATTTTTATTTAGTATGTCTATGTCAAGCTCTTTTGTTTCTTTTACTTTTATACACAGTTTTAGTTTAGTATTTCATTCTGAATATAAAAATGCCTTCTGTGCTAGTATATTGTACACTGTTCTAACAGCCACTAATAGTCCATTGCTGGATATAGGCCTTTCCTTAGTAAGGAGGTTTTGGCCTACTATACCACGCTGGCCAGACGGGTTGGTATAGAGTTTGTTTTAAGTTTTCCTTCTCTTTGCAGTGCTGTTGTCCTGCGTAGGTTTCCCCTTAGTGGGCTTTTGCGATACCCACGGGTTGAATTGAGGTGGTGACACTCTGTAATCTGAGTCCGTCACCATGCGGACAGTCTACTTGTTAGTCCCCTATTCCATGAAAAAACATTTTGTTCCCATTTTCTAATTTGAATATACTTTACGAAAAGCTTCTCTTTACTAATAACATCTAAAGTTAAGTTGAAACAAAGTGCTTAAAACAAACTCAAAGGCAGCAAAGTTTCGTATCTGTAATAGAATACGTTGTCTGGTTAAGGTCTTCTACTAAAACCACTTGCTAAGTCTGTAAGACTTTAACAAGATTTTTACATTTCCCTTATCTTCAGTAGTGAGCATAAGAACTGCCAGATTATGTAGATGGTTTGTATGCGATGTGAGTGCCATCATGTCAGTGATTCTTACAAGGTGCTTGGGCGGTTTACGATTGTCTTTTATTCTTTAGTCTATGAAAACACCATAATGTTTGTGTTAACTAACGAATCCGATATTTTTAGGCTAAATAAATTTATAAACCTACATTGCAGTTTCCTAAAAAATCTGGCTATTAATTATAAAGTTCAACGACAGGTTACAGATACTTACAGATGTTAAATATAAATAAATAATTAATCACGGTATTATTTTAGCTTCTTCTTAATGTCAGTTTTAGAAACCAAAACATTACGTGTTTAAAAGCTTAAATTATAAAGGTAATTTTGCATTTATATATGATAACGTTAAGTGAGTGTTATTCCTATATGTAAAAAGCTAACAAAATTATCTCTTTTTCTTTTATCCTTAAACAATATGCCATACATTGAGTCAAATAATTTTAAGTATAAACATAATAATAAATAAAGTAAAATAGTAACTTTGAACATTCTACTTGTAATTTTGTAAAATAAGCGATCACCACAAAATCCATACTTAAATTTTCAATGTGAAGGTGAGTTAGTACGCCATTTACATACTCTCGAACAATCAGAAAATGCTTAATCTGTAGAAAACTAACTACTGTAAAGTGTGACTGCAATAATCCATAGTTATATCATAAATGTGAAAGTGAAGTTTGCTTGTTACGCTTTAACGCCTAAACCACTAAACCAATTTTAATTTATTTTTTTAAAGCTACATTATCAGCGACTAACATAGGCTATTTTTTACCGCGAAACACTTGGGGGAAACGCGCGGGCAACAGCTGGTAGTTTGATAAATACCACGCGCGAATACCATTGAACGCGAACGATTCCTTGGTAGATGTTTGATTTATACATGACTAGTTTTTGCCCGTGGCTCCGCTTGCGTAAATGTCGGTTATCACGGTAAAACGATATCTCCATACAAAATTTCGTTTAAATCGGATCAGCGGTTATTGATTCCCCGTACAAACTTCAACCCTCCTTTTCACCCCCTTAAAGGATGATTTCTGGTATAAAAGCTACTCTATGTCTTTTCCAGAGACTCGGACTGTCTCTATGCCAAATCAGTTCAGCGGTGTAAGCGTGAAGAGGTAGCAGATGGACAGATAGAGAGACATGTTTCTAAAAATAGAGGTAACATACAAAGTCTGAAACCTAAGCAAAATATACTCAGCATATTTTCATAAATTAAACGTACCAACCTTTATTTTGTACACATTCGAACCTTGAGCGTTCCAAAAAAGGCTGTGTCAGCAAAAATAAGCCAGTTGTTATCATTTTCTAACAGAACATTGAACTATTCTTTACATTGTTTTATCAGCGTGAATATTGTGTGAAATAGAATGAAGTAGAAGAAGAGAAGGATATTTTAAATATATCGAATCTTACTTGTTTTAAAACTAAAACATAGCGCTTTTAAAAAAGATTTATGTATCTTGGAATAAATTTAGTGTTTAATGATAAATCTCCGTAAGAAAATCTTGTAGATATTGGCAATAGAAATCCAAACATTTATAAAACAAAATACTATTTTTTTTTAGTTCCATGAGCACTGCCATATTTTAATATTTTGAAAACTGGGTAAAATTCATTTGTTTGAATCACTAATAATTAAACAAACAAGACAACGTCTTTTTCAGGGCTAAAGAGAAATTCCAGGGCAGCTTATATCAAATCAAATTGAAGATATGCTTCTCAGATCGGTATTTCAACTACAAGACAATGCACGCTAGGTACGCAAAGGTACAGAATATTTCAGGGCAAATAAATTGCAAGAAAACTCTGGTAGGTACGATCTGTTCAGTAATTGTAATTTAGTTTAATTATGAAGCCAGTTAAATTTAAAAAATAAATATAACATTAATTGACCATAATTAATATTTATTGGTTCTTAAAATTAAAATAAATTATTCATCCATAGTAGTAAGAGTAAGACCTGTCTCCCTGGGGTAATCCATCGGTATTAATATGCCACTAGGGCGATAATCCTGATTGAGATCTCATGCCGAATGTTAGTAATTAAAATAATATCTACTCTACGGTTTGTTGGAAGAAAACTCTACTATGGGTTTAGCTTGCATTTGTACATGTTATTTGCCTTCCCATAAAATGAATGAATATAAGCTATGACCTGTTTAAATCTTAATTTAAGACGAGTACGCTTAAAGCTACTAATGTTATATTCACACCATGGTGACGATAACTGTCACATAGTTAATCTATCCCATGTATCATACGCTATATATATATATATGTTAACATATATACGACATATATATGTTAACATACGAACTCGCCTACAACGTTGATTTATGACCGTAGCCCTTACATGGTGTAAGCCTAACGATTAATTTAACAACGTCTATGTTTGAGACAGTAAATTTATTAATAATATAATCGATGGCTATAGATTTGGTATTGTCATTGTATTTTTATAGGTTACTGGCCGGCCTTAATACAAGGTAGATAAAATAACTAGATTGGAAGCAAGGTACATTCAAATATGCAGCCACAGATTAACATATTCATATCACGTACACAGATCGGCATAGTCTAAGAATAGAGTCAGATCTGACATTTATTGAACTTTACGGGGCAGCCATTTCAAATAATTATGTTATTTTTTTGACATAACTTTTCTCATACAAGTGAAAAATAGGGAAATAAAAATAACAACTAATAATTATACAATTCCCTAGAAAAATCATATGCTTCATTTTACTTTCAAATCTAAAACATAATTATTTTTTTCTGGAATTTTTAATAATATTTAGACAATGTAGTAACCAAATATGCTAAAAACTGAATTTCGTATTTTTTTCAAAACCTACATTTTTCTACGATCATAAGATGTACTAGCTATAGGTGTTATATAGGAGGGAGCCTCTATCCATGATCATATAAGTATTTTTGTATAAAAAAAATGACGAAAATTAATGATTTACAAATTTAGAATGTTTTACTAGGTTTTATATTACTATTGCTGCTCTGCCTTTGCGTAAAAGAAGTTATTTCCTGTCTCGGAAACTTTTTTTTTTAATGCAACTGCAATTTATCGTTTGTCATACGCTGAATGACTGGCCACGCATGGCGATCGAATGAGCGGTACCTTAGTGCATTAAACTCAAACTTCATCATCTTCTTGCGCTTTGCCTAAATTCATTTGGTGTCGGTGCAACGAGTTTTCTTCTTCCATTCTCCTCTATCATTCATCAAACAACATGTTACAAAAAACACAAACAATTCAACTTTATTTTTTAACACTAAAAAGAAACGGTATGTAATGTCGATCACGTAGAATACACACAGTCATAGAGCAGAGTTAAACGGTTTTTTAATAGAGTTTACTTCTTTCCTTTTGCTCTAGTACGTGAGAAAACATCATGATTCTTCTTCGGAAATGTAATTTTATACTGTTTAACCAACCACCTGTAGCTCAATTGCGTTTCCTTTGCTTAAAGTTAGTTTTACTTCATTAAAAAGGTTCTCTTAATTTTAAGTGAGGAGTTTTCATTTGAAATGTTTTCATAATGAACTTTCCGCGCAGATGTTTTCTGACAAACCATATCTTGAAATATTTAAGTTTTTGGGTAATGCAAATAACCGCAATGTGAAAGTTGTAGAGTAATTAGTAGATAAGAGGCATTTTGAAAGCATAGCGTTCCCTATCCTATCATTATAACAGATATCAAAAATACCATGGTTGACGTAAATTTATTTGTTGGTTACAGACATATTGTGTTTTTTAATTATTCATAAAGGTAAGGTTAAGCATATAATGAATATTTATAGAAAAAGAATAACTGCCATTTTGTAACGTTTTGGTGTATCGTTATCACTTCTTCTCTGTTTCTTTTATTAATTAATTTTAAAATTGCAAAAACTTTCACCTAAATAATGACATATTTGTGAATTGAACAGAAGTTTACAGCGCAACTTTTTAGTTTCTACTTTACATTTAAAAAATAGTTGAAACATTTGGTGATGAGACGTCTATCTTCTAGTATTTCTAATATATTTGAGTAATACAAAGCTACATTTCCGTTGCCGTGAGATATTGCTTTGTGTGTCTTATATGCCACATAATCTTATATATAAAATTCTCGTGTCACAATGTTCGTTCCCGTACTCCTCCGAAACGGCTTGACCGATTCTCATGAAATTTTGTGTGCATATCGGGTAGGTCTGAGAATCGGCCAACATCTATTTTTCATACCCCTAAATGGTAAGGGTGACCCATCCCTACATTTTTTTTTTAGGCAAAGCAACGTTTGCCGGGTCAGCTAGTTATTTATAACTATGAGTATCAGGTCAGAGACAAAAAGCTTATTAAATTATAAACATGTTTTAAGAATTCTTTAGAAGTTTTCAGAAAAACTACGACGACCAAAAATGTTATTTATTAAAAGAAATAACTTGCAGTTTTAGTTATTTATTGAAGTTAATTGTTCAAATAATAGTTGCATATTTACATATATTGACAATAAACGATCACCAGAATCCTAGTAATAAACCATCAGGAGCATCGACAATAAGTATCAGGTAATTATTCTCTGGAGCACGGAATTGCAGTACGAAGAATGCTTGCTGAACGGGTATATGTATATGCAAGTTTATGTTCGAATGTGAACATATAGCGCAACCGTGTTCATCATAACTAATGAAAGCATGTTTCAGCTTCCGCAAAGCGTAATCATTCATTTTCAAGATATTCAAGTGTGGTTTTATATCTTGAGATATATGTAGACAGAGAGAGATATTACAAATATGTTTGTGGATAAAGGACAATTTAATTTTTAGTTAATATATATGTCAGTAAGTTTGAAATATTTTAAGATAACCGTTACTGATTACTTTACTCTTTGTAAAATAGTTTGGATGTACATGTTTTTGTTTACAATAATACATACACACATTTTTATTGATTGTTGAAAACACTACAATTGGTTTTTCTCAAAAATTATCTTACAAGTCAATCTGAATAGAAAGGCAACATAATTATGTACCTATAGCATCTCCTTTCATTCTCCTTCCTTTCATTATTTTACCGACTAAGACACGCAATTTAGCAAGATTAAACACTGCCAGTGCAACTGGCAAGGAAAGGTTTCACGGCCGCACTGTATTTTTATGTAGTACCATGAAAATGGTCGTTGTTAAAAATGACCTTTGTATCGTATAAAAACGCACCCATGTCGTAGTTTCAATATTTATTACTATTGCTATTTCAAATAACCGATTACCTACGGTTTAACTAGAACAACTATTTGTACTTGATAGGAATGGTTTGTACGAGTAAAGATACGACTGGTATCTATGTAAATTTACGTAGTGGAAGTCGATGCCAAGTTGCAAAGCGTCTCTGGTGTTTACACTATCGTACCAGGAAATAGAATTTCTCACGACTCTTCCATAAACGCATACTAGCGGTGTAACGCTGGGATGATATATATTTATTATATGTTATGTGAGGTAATATCATTTACTCCCGTTACATTTGTAAAATGACCTTAGAACCATCTCGTCAACGTATGTATCTTCCTACTTTAAACTTAAATGTAGTAATCATGACAAAAACCTTCGTTCCTTCAATAGCTCTCTTCTTCATTGTCCCTCCCATACGTCAGAGTTTGTAGGTTCAACGTTTTTCATTCTGTACGTTCTTCTTTGTAAGTCAAAGCGTTTTTCCTCGGAATTAGGATAGCCACTGTTGCTATTAATTAAAGCCGAAAGTAATTTGCATATAAGTATATTTATCAAATTAATTTTATCATAAACGTTCCAACCTCCTGCTTTTTCTGCGTCAAGAGAAGATAAGTAAATGAATAAATAAAAAGACATAAATTTGCTCGTATACTGTGTTTGGTTAAATTTCCTTCACTGAAACATGAAACATTATAATATGTGTGTACAAACATTGGAGCAAACATAAATACCGCAATGAATATTATTTAAAAATATGTGTATATCTTACAAACATAATGTGTGCTCACTGAGCGTATTCACATAAAAGTAAATTTTCGCTGTTTTCACAAAACAAAACTCATTTTCTTAAAAGTTCTTTTAATATGTCCAGCTAAGAAATTAACGAACTTAATTACCCGTTACCAAAAATAATGAAAGAACTTCTAAGGAAAGGCAGTAAATTTATTAATAATAATTACAGAACTTATTGTAATGCAACAAAAAACCAGCCAAGAAAACTTTGGGGGTCTTTAGCAAAATAGAAAACGAGAGGCTTTCTTTATATCAAACAGTTACTTTCTGAGTCTCTAATGAGTTATGAATTACCATTTTATCGAATTCGTTCGTAGGCAACGCCGGTTGTATAAACTTATTGGCACAAAAATTCACAAAAATTGTTCTACTGAAACTCCGTATATATAAATATATATGTTCGAACGAAATCAAGAATAAGAAGAGTTAGTATATTGTCTTCAATTAAACACAGCATGAAAATTGAACATGCCAAACATGACAAACCGATTTTTTCGATTTTATGCTAAAAACTTCGGAAGCTCATTTTTGATACGTCAAATTTGAGATTTTGGTCAAACTAATTATCATCTGGCATCTCGCTTGCTATAATTGTGGTAAGTTTGTTGATAGACAAAATTTTGAAAAAAATTATAGTATGATAGCGAATGAAAAATGAATCAATATTGAAGACAAGCCGGTGCAATGTTGCATTATCTGTTTTATGTGAGTTTTAAAAGCTAGATACGGGTATATGTATTTACAACTGACTCTTTAAGGCGTCTTTATAGGTAGATATTGTGAAATTGATACAAATGTGTGTAAATAATTTCATTTTAAAATCCAAACTTTGTAATGGGTAGTATACGTCATGTTTATAAAGATGGGCAAAACAATACGAGTATGCGAGTATTTGCATGAGTCTACTGTTGGGAGAGTATAAGCCACTAGGTGAACAGTAACTCGTTTGTAACAGGTTACTAAAATATCGGTAAAACGTCGAACTGATCAGTTCTTAGTGTTAAATACTAAAAACTGATCAGCCCAAATATCAAGATAGGGTTAATAATTTTATCAGTATTTTTTCCATAGTCATCAGTTTTGATGAAATTATTTTTAACGAATAAATAGGGCTTTTGCATTTAAGTTCATGTAACTACAAGCGCGAAACCTTATCTGAATACAAAATTTCATCATAAGCGATACAGCAATTTCCGAAATACACATAAATACACACAATAATATACATATTATATAAAAAGTATTATAAAATAAAATAAAATTATATGAAAAAAATGTAGTTGAATCAATAAAATATAAAAAAATAGCAGGAAAGAACAAATTAGTACTTGTAATTTTTTTACTTTTTCGTTTTACAAACTAAATATTAGATAGGTACTATACAGTATAATCCATCCAAAGATTGCCTGTAAGAGATCGCAGACTGCGATAAGGCCGCCCATTGTATCACTGCTTTTTTGTATGTATTCTACATCTACATTCTAATCATGGTGTGCAATAAAGAGTACCTATCTAGCTATCTATATTTAAATATTATTTAATTAATTTATACTTTAAGTATTGACAATTATTTATGTATATTATACATATTATAAAGTAAGTTTATGAATCGTTTGACAATTACTGGAAGACATACTTATTTTCTTTCTGATACTATATTAGTATGTATTTTGTTAATTATCGTACTACAGCTAGCTGTTTAGAAACTGCCTAAACAAAAAATAAACATTTAAACAAGTATCATCGACTTCAATTTGCTTATATCATGATCAACATGATGATGATTCATTGTGATAAACCATTTTATTCGTTTCTTGCTTTTCCACTTTTTTTTCAAATTGTAATTGCATCGAACGGGGTGTATATAAGTGTGTCCTCTCCGCTTCTACACTTGCAAGTTCAAATAAATATTGTGAACAAGGCAGGCATTATTCATTAGAATTCACTGAACAAGCGTATTCTAATGTTCAAAAATTTCCCGCTCATGTTTCTGCACAAATGCGGGCATTCCACAGGTCTCATCAATATGCGTGAAACCACGGTAACGTAACATGGTATGCAGGATTGCAAACCCTAATCAAAAATAAAAATAAATGGGATTGTGTGTTAGTTTATAGATTTATGGTTGGCGGTGTCTCTTGGTCAACACAAAGGAATGAATCCACTCTTCTGACGGCAGAGTTCATGCAAACACAAGATCTTTATCATTTTAATAAGAAATATTTTGAAATCTTCTTCAAAATTTAAATCAAGTCTAATACGAAATCAACATAAGATAAACAACGGCAAAATGAAGAAAGCCAGATAATCCTGTTAGAATAATTACAGACAGTAAAATTCTGCGTTTGCTTTTAATTTGTGTGAGAAAAAGAAGAAATTAAAGGATTCATTATCCATTTCGGTTCTTCGCTTGGGTCAGTAATCCGTATTTTATATTTTTCATTACGCGTTGCTTCGTCCTCCAGTCGTGATGACAGACGGTTTACGAGCTCGTTTATAGCCTCGACATAACTAAGAGTTGTGCTTTAATCTCTTAGAATTAAATATATAAAGAATTAATAGCTTTTCCTTAATGTTGCTCCACCATATTTCATACAATAACAGTGTCATTTTTGTGCCTTCACTCCGTTAATGCAGGGTGGCTTTTACTTGAACTTTCAACAAAAAAATATTATATTATATTTGATTAAATGCTTGTACGTGTGTAAATTTATAATGAAATTGAATTTAAGATACATTATTAATCTAATCTTTAATATAATAATATCTTAATTGATATAAAAAAACATCACTAATGCGTCCGGCTATTAGTCTCTCATAGATCCGGATATATGGGACAGATTATGTTAAAAATGTCGTACAAATTTCATGTGACCTAATAACAGAAGTTTTATCATAAATAAATCAATTTTGAATGCAGGACCACATTTGAATCAATCAATTTTATACATCACATCATCATCACATCAACAGCCTTTAATAGTCCACTGCTGGACATGGGCCTCTCCTTAAAAAGAAGGTTTTGGCCTACTATACCACGCTGGCCAGGCGGGTTGGTATAGGGTTTGTGTTAAGTTTTCCGTCTTCTTGCAGCGCTGGTGTCCTGCGTTGTTTTGCGCCCTTAGTCGGTTCTTACGACACCCACGCGATGAATTGGGGTAGTGACACTCCGTATTCTTAATCCGTCACTACACGGACACCCACATATTATTCTTATACTTTTAAGATTACTTATAAATTACTCATAAACTCACAAGACGATTAAGGTCATACATACATAGTACATTGTACTTAGAAACATGCAATAAAAAACAAATATGAAACGAAATAGGAAAATAATATAGTATTTAAACAAACGTGAGTATATAAATTTCATATACGTACATTTGGAGTAACAGAAAAAAAATAAGACAATTACATTTTTTTTATTTCAAGGCGTGTTGTTTGGTCAATAGGTCAAAATTAACTCCTCAGTGAACAAAAATTTCAAACAGAGCTCTGATTTGATGTTTGTTGACGAAAAACCTAATGGGACCCCTAGGGATATAAGCGAAGGTTCCCAGTAGAAAAAGCCTAATTTCAAAGGAAATTAACGGTTCACGGTTATTAATATTTTGTCGTTTTAAATCTATACTTCATTTTTTCTCGAAGAAAGTAACAAGTCTGCAACAAGAACATATGAGGCCACACAACACCTCTATAGG